ATGCTGGTAAGGCTTCAAGTTTGCCCCGTTTGAAGGCAAGCCCGCAATTGGACCCCGCGCAGTGGATCGCCCCCATCATCTTAAACATATGACCATCACTGACTCCAACAACCAAGGTGCCATCTGCGTAGATGAGTTCGCTAACGAGTATCCGGGCGTCTTGGCGTAGTCGATGGGCTCGGGGGGCCCTGCTCGCACGGTGCATGGGGGCCGTCATGGCGATTGAGAACAGAAATGGCGATGAAGGGCAGCCTGGGGAGACGCCGAAGGCTTGTGGCCATGGCTCGGACGTCTGGCCTGCGCCCCTCGCGCGAAATGATCTGTCCGCGTAGACAGCCCGAACTGCCTCGGCGAAGTGCCCCGGGATGCCGAAGCGGACGAGCGCCTGCGCCGGGGCGGCCGGCGAGGCGCTGTCAAACGCCTTGGCCCGGTCCAGCGCCAGCAGGATCAGCTTGCCAGAGCGAGAAGTCCAGGTGTCTTCGATCGGCCTGCGAACAACGACCAGCACATCCGTGGTGCCGTGTCCTGATCGCAATCCAAACTGCGCGCCCCTGATTCTGTCTTCGGCGCCTGCGTCCTTCGCGCGGCCGAGAAGCACCATTGCGTGCAGTTTGTATCCAAGAAAGATATTGGCCGATAGATGGCGCACTCGGCCGAGTCGCCTGTCTTGAGCAGCGCGATGACGACTGCTTCGTGCCGCGCGTTCGGCGCAGCCTTCTCAGTCCAGCATTTGTTGCACATCAGCGTGGCCCACTCGAAGGCCGCAGTCCCAGGTTCGCATGTAGCCTTTCACAATTCCCTGGGGATGCCGTCGCCTCCAAGAGACCTGTTCCTTCTCAACTTTCGCGCAGCATTGCCAACCTCTTCCGGGCGAATGGGGCCTTCTGGGGCCGGGAGAACTGCGCCTAAAGAGGAGGCGTGTTCGACGTCGATCACGGGTCTCGCAGCCCATTGGACTCCGGGAAAATATTCTGCAAACGTGTCTGCCCCGCTGATCACTGTCAACCAGTCTTCCGCTCGAGTCCTGCACGCGGCCCTGCCGCGCCGCAGAACCTTTCCGCAGTTTCCGAACCTCGGCCCGATCGCCGGAGACAAGGAGATCGTCGAGCCACTTCCCTCTGTCTGCTTTGACCGATGCTTTGATCATTATGTGAAGACGCTTCTTTCTGTCAAAATCTTCATTCCTCCGTGCTTCCCCTCTGCGTGTGATCAGCTCCAGAATTGCATTGCTAATCCATGGTCTCTGGCGCGTCGCATGAATCGTAGGCAAGCGCCTGCCAGCGGCGTGTTTGATGTCAACTACCATCGCTGTGTTGAACTCGTTCCAAGTATACCGGTACGTCTGCCATGTGTCAAGAGAATGCGGAATTGAAATTGTCCACCGCGCTGCTGGCTGCTGCGAGACAGCGCCTGTAAGTCCGGCTTCTCGTTTCGCTCCCAGGAGGTTTTCTCGACGCCCATGTGCAAGCAGCAGGGAAACGGGAAATGGTGCGACGCAGGGGCCGCATCCTTATGACTACGAACGTCGCTGACAGACGATCGCCGGCCCCCAGGGCAGAGCAGAACATCGATTTGTCCATGATGTTCTGGGCGGGCTGGATCGGAAGGCTTCGAACCGACGCTGCAGCGCGTTATTTGGACCTCCGGCGGGTGATCGCAGAACGAACTGCTGACCGCTAGCCCATGTGTCCCACGCGGCTCAAGCAGCAGACTGCGATTAGAATTTGGATCATGCCGCGCAGACGGGCAGCCGAAAACATAAGGCCCAATGTGTGGTAAGTCGCACGGGAACTGCCTGTGCAGCCTCGCATTGAAATCCCCGAAAAGCATTGGCCCTCTATGCCCAGAAGTGTCTCGGAGAAGGGCGCCAAGAGACTGGTGCGACTCTCTCCTGGCCTCATGCGGCTTGCTAGCGCGTGGGGGGCGTATATGCTGAAAACCGGCACCTTGCCCCCGCAAGCGCGCAACTTCACCGCAAGCGACCTCGACGACACCATTGACTCCGATGATGCTGGTACGTATGTCTGGAGATATGAGAGATCACCCCCCCGCTGTCTCCCGGTCGTCCGCGCGTCCAGCGGGCACCAAAAGATAGCCAGAGTCAGTGGCCGCAATCGTTAAGTCTGGCTTGTGAGTTCCTTGGATTGCGAGAGCATCGACGTTGAAATTCCGCGTGTGTTCTTGGAGTTCTGCGACCTTGGACTCCGTCAATCCTTCCACGTTCCAAGATCCAAATGCAATGTCTTTCCTGCAGGGGCGTAGCGGCCCACCACGGCAATCGAAATCTTCTGCGTGGCTGCTGTCGCGGCCGCCCACGTCCTCAATATGCACATGCATGCTGTCGTGAATTCGCAAAGAGTCTGTCGGCTCATAATGGCAATATTGCCGACTGCCGGTGCCGGTGAAACATTCGAGGGGGCCATTTCCTATTCCCCTGGGGCTGCCTGCCCCTGGGCAGGGCCACCTTTGGAACCGCCCTTCGCTTGGCCTTTCATGCCGGCAACCGCCCTAGATACGATCCCGGCGCACTTGGTCTTCAGCTCAACGATCAGCGCATGCTGGAGCAACTCGTCCCAAGAGGCCCACTCGCCTTTCCAGTCGTGCTCAACCGTGGTCTTGGTGACGTTCGCCGTGAGAGCAGGCTCCCCGCCCACTGTGACCACGTACGGCGCCTCGTCAGTGATCGAAATCGCGCATGGCACCTCCCATTCCGTCTTCAAGATGCGCTTGAGGCCGAAGCAGAAGCTTCTGGCCGCGCGCTCTGGGGCAGCTCGGTCATCATTCGCCCATACCTGCTTGCTTCCACTTCGTAGGCTGGCCCCCCTGAGGAGCTCCACAGGTCGGTCGCGATCAAAAGAGCCTCCGAACTCAGCGAAGACGATGCCGGCGTAGCGCCCCCTGGCGTACATCTTCGTCGATAACGGGCCCCCCAGTGTCGAGAGCTTATCGTTCAACCACGTGGTCGCCTGCTCGAGGTCCGAGAGGCCTTCCAAGTTGCCAACGACCGCGGTGACGGCCCTCTTCTCAATGCCTGCTGCTGCGGACATGCCGGCGCGCGGAGGGGAGCGGGCGAAGTCCTTCTTTCATGTGGTCCTCGATGCCGTCCCTGATCTTCCTCTCCAGCATGACCAAGTCCATGGCGGGGCGCTGCAGCAGGTCGTTGTACAGGGTCTCCAGCTTCTCGACGCGGACATCGGTGACGGACATGCGCTGCTCGAGGAATTCGAGGCGCTCGGAAAGGTTCGCATTCAGGTCGGTGATGTTGCCGTCTATGCTCCGCACCTCTTTGCGAAGCTCGTCCACTGCCGACGTAACGGGCCGTAGTAGTGCCGCGGGTCCATCTTTTCCCACAGGTCGCGTTTCATCAACAAGTCCCTGGGTGGTGTGCCTGCCGACCGGCCGCGGTTCGGGATAGGAGATTCCGAGATGAGGTTGGCTAGCCACCTCTCCATACCCATGGCTGCGCTCACGAATAGCAGATGGTTTCTTGATGCGCGCCCCCTCTCTGGCTGCCTGAAAGGGCGGTTGCTCTGCTGCTCCTGCGGCTGCTCCTCCTCGTCGTGCATGCGCTGGTAGCCGTCGTCCGCGAGGAGGGGGGTGGAAGACGAAGCGACGCCGCATGGGCAAGTCGGAGAAGATGGGCTGGGACCGGTACGGGCCGCTTTCTCGTTGGGACTCTTCATCTTCTCCCACGGGTCCATCTTTTCCCACAGGTCGCGTTTCATCAACAAGTCCCTGGGTGGTGTGCCTGCCGACCGGCCGCGGTTCGGGATAGGAGATTCCGAGATGAGGTTGGCTAGCCACCTCTCCATACCCATGGCTGCGCTCACGAATAGCAGATGGTTTCTTGATGCGCGCCCCCTCTGCACCCAGACATCCGCCCACATGATTTTTTCAATGCGCGGCCCATGAGTCATGAGGTCCCGACCCCTTCCCCAGGGCCAGTGCTTCGCCCCAGGTGCACTTTTTGATGGCCCTCGGCCCTCGGGCCCGGTGACGGGCCCTAGAGCCCAACACCTAGGAAAAATGGTGGCATCGATCGGGCTGGGCGAAAGGGGGGGATAGCAAAAGGTGAAGGGGCCGAAGGACACACAAATAAATACACACAAATAAAATCATTCCCTATATTTTCCTATATTTTCTGGGTTTCTGTCTTCCCGCCCACTTCCCATATTTTCCTATATTTTCTGCGGAATCGACGATTAATTGTGTCTGTGTATTTTTGTCCCGTCTTGAAAAGGGGGGTTTGAGAATCAGCTCACATAGCTGATTTTCCTGGCGCCTCCCCGCGCCGGGAGGCGCCCATGCATCGAGGAATGGGCCCGGCGGCGGGGCCGAAACCAGCTGCATGCTTCAGATGTCGTACCCCCCCCCCTTCTCTATCCCCCGCCTCTCGTCTGGCCCGAACGGAGATACCACATATAAGCAAGTTCACTCGCCTGGAGGGGGGGCATGGCGAGACCCGAACGGAGATGCTGGCTTCACACAGGTTGGGACTCACTTGCACGCCCTTCCGGCCCAGCGCTGCCCGAAAAGGCAGCGGAATTGGCGGGGGCGAACTGCCGTGCAAACAGTCGTGCTGAATCTTGGAGGGGGGCCCGAGAAAATCTGCCACGAACGGCGGGTGGGACCAACTCCGCTCAAAATCGGTCTCCGGACCCCTTCCTGCAGGGCTGAACCTGAACTGTGTTTTTCGTTTTCGTTCTGTTTCCGTGTGCCCTCGTTCCTGGTGCAGGGTCTCCCTCGGGACCTGCTCGGCCCCGCGGGGCCCGCACACGGCCCCCGCAGAAGGCAACACCAACCTCCTCGAACCCCGCACCTCGAACCCCTCGCCCCCCCCCTCCTGCTGGCGCCCGGGCGGGCTCGGGCACCAGTGCTTCAGGGTGGCCTCACGACAAGCTCTGGGGGCTCTCGAGGCCCACGCTGGGCCACCTCCGACCCGCGGCCGGCGCCAGCCCGAGCCCCCTCCCCCCCGCCCACAGGCCGTTGCCCCCCGTGGCCCGCGTGCGGCCACGGCGGCGGGCGCCCCGGCGCCGCGTGCTCGGGCTCCTCCTCCCCGCCGCTGCTCTCGGAGAGCTTCCCGCTGGGGTCGTCCTCGCCCTCGGACTCGGCGTCGAGCTCCTCCTCGCCTCGGGGAGGGGGGGGGGGGAGCTGCGCGGGGCGGCTGCTCCGACGACACTGCCGTCCTCCTGCACGCGGATTTGGGATGGAAAGTGAACGAGTAGTTTCAAACAGTGCCCAAACTTGGCCAAAGAAGCCCGACAAATCGTCACCTGACTATTATTACTTTTCTTGAACATTCCTCCTGTAGAGATCCGTGCCCGACTTTACCCGAGACCCGAAACGCCTACAGGGCCAAGGCGGGGACCAAGAGACCCGAACCGCCCACAGAGCCAAGGCAGGCACCAGGGCGCAACATACGCGGGGCCCTGATCCGCGTGCTTGTTCGTCAGGCTCGGGCCTCGGGGGCAGTCTCTTGGGGCCATCGCAGACGGATCTGGGGCGAGCAGGCTGGCCTCCGGGGCAGGAGTCGGGACCTCCTCTGGGGCCGCGCACCGAACACCGATCATGTCGTCAGATGTCTGGGAAGGGCCCCGACGTGAAGGGGGGAACAGCTCACGGGGGTACGCATCCGAGCTGGAATCGGCGATACATCGCCAATACATCGGCAATCAAGGCCCTCGATAGGGAAGCCACACGTTCCTGGGCGGGGAGGGTTATCAGGCCCCTGTCGGCGATGAACGGGCCCTTGGGGTCGATGCGTCCCCTCCCAACCCATGCCCCCTGAACGTTGCCCCGGACAAAGTCGGAATCGATCGTTCGCAATTCGAACATGAAGCGCAAAGGGATGAGCCCTAAGGACAGGAGGTGGATCACGAGTCGAGCCTTTACTGTTTGAGGTTTTCGCCCATATTTCGTCCATGCAGCCCATCCCTCACGGCCCCGTCCTTTGAACCATCCTGGGCCCCAAGGTCGGGGAGTAAACATCCCCAAGCATTGACAATGATGGCTTCCTGGAGCATCATCCTGGTCATCCTGGATCCTGGATGGAAGCGTTGCCCATTGCGGGCAGCTGGGATTGTACGCCCCTCTGGTCTGACCGGAAGGACCCGATCCCGGACACCAGGCCAGCGTGGGCAAGGGTCGGTGTGCAGGTGAACAGATGGCACCCGGCCATCGCCGTCGAGGTCGTCGACGTCCTCGTCCCCCGACCCCTCCTCTGAGCATCGTTTAACCGATCCCCATCCCCAGCGGCGTGGCCTGGGCCCCACTGGCCGATTTATTCCCCTGGATGGGGATATAGGCCGTTCCCTTCGGGCTTCGAGGGGTGTATCCCCAACTGGGGGGGTTCCTTGGTGGAGGTCTCGGAGGGGGTGGGGATGGGGATGGGGGTCGGTTAAACGATCCTGATCCTCAGCGGCGACTCCAGCAGGGCGCGACCACGAGGGGGCGATCCCCTCCTCGTCCGGCAAGGGCTCCCCACGCGCCCATGCCTCCGGCCTGGGGCCGGGCTCGTCCTCGAACAACTCCCTCTGCATCCTCTCCAGGTCTGCGGCCTCCTCTCTGAGATCCAACGTCTTGGCACAAAGCACGGCGCCCTGAAAAACAATAATCGCGACAGGACCTCATCTTTGCGCGGGGCTTCTCTATAGCCAGGTCGGCCCCCGAGGATCCCGGGCGCCGAAACGGGGTCGAGACGCTCGTTGCGCTCTCTTGGCGGCGCGCACAGAAAGGCGGTGTGGCGAGGGGATCGGCCTTCTAGGATGGCAGCGAGCTTCGTAGACGGGGCTCGGAGGTTGCTGCGAAGCGTTCTTCGAGGCCTCGATTCCTCCGAGGAAGTCCCCCGCCTTCTCACAAGGCCGATCTCCTCGCTACGCCAGGCCTCTGTGCGCGCAGCCACAAGAAAAGAAGGGGCCAAGAGGTGGGACCTGGACTTCACCACGCTGCGGTTTTTCACGGCGCCATGAATCTGAGGTTCCTCCTCGTCGCCTCCCACGTAGACTCTAAAGCTCTCCTGGAGCGCGTGCTGACCATCATCTCGGTGGGGGGATTTGGCAGTGGCGACGGGAAGGGTCTCCTGAAGCCCCCGCTGGACACCAGACAAACAAAAAACGCCTACTGCAGCCACGACGCTGGGATCTCGAGGTTGGCATGAAGCAAGCGGGTCCTGAGGGAAACGGGTCCTGGACCCAGGAACCTCCCTCAACAGAACCAGCTCTTTGTTTTGAGCCTCTGACAGCCCTGGGGCCCGTGGAGGGCCCAAGGAGACCAAAGACGGCGGAAACACATCAGGACCCGTTTCCCTCATGAGCGTGGCATGACACGCCGGAAACGGCCGACCTACAATGAGTGGGGATGTATGCTATTCTCTTCGGATTCCGCGGAGCCTATCCCTACCTGGAGGGATGGGCAGGTAGGACTGAGATACCATGGCCTGTGGGGATGGGGATGGGGATCGGTTAGACGATGCTGACTTTTGGGGTCTAGAGGTCTCCCAAAGACGATCCGGGCAGATGGAGTCGGAGGATCGAGCCGCATCGCCGATGCAGTCGCGACGTCGGCGGTGCATCGGCAACGTGGGCGTGGAAAACATCGAGCTCCACATCGAGCCGTATCGGGGATGCATCGGCGATAGGGCGTTATTCTCCGAACCCATGTACTTGGACCCCACCTGGGAGGCCTACAATCAAAATTCATGGTAAGGCTGCGCTGCTTCATCAAGGCGACCCTTGCATCCCTGCTTCTTCCAGCTCATCCTGAGCCCGTGTTGACGTCCAGGGAGCTCCAAATGGTAAGTGGGATTTCCAAGGGCCTTGCTTCATCACCCTGCGTCCTTGCCATGGATCTTTACTGGGGAGCCTCGAGAACCCGCTTGCTTCGTGGCCGTCAGGAGGGCTCTCCTCGCAGCCCCCCGCCGCCAGCGGAGGCGGCGGCACGCCGCCGCAAGCGCGCTGCCGCGCGGACTCCCCGCCGCCGCGCCGCCCGCCCGCTGGGGCTCTGGCCGCTGCCGCGCGGCCGCGGCCCGCCATCGGCCCTCGCCGCGGCCGGGAGCCCGGCCCGCGGGCGACTCCGCGCCGGGCTGCGGGCGGCGGCCGCGCGCAGCTCTGCGGCCCAGAGGTGGGGGGCCCCGAGGGGGTGGGGCCCCCAATGGAGGGCCACCGAGGTGGACCACGGGTCGGGCCCTCCCCGCCTGGGGCCCACCCAGGGGCCCCACCCCTCCGGGCCGGGCCTCGGAGATGCCGGGGCGGAGCGGGCGGCGGCGGGAGGCCGCCCACGGAGGGCCAGCAAGGGGGGCCAAGGACGTCCGGGAGCCTCGCTCCCCTCGGCCGGGGGCGGGGGGAGGGCGGGACGTCGGGTCCGAGGAGGAGGAGGAGGCGGCGGAGGAGGAGGAGGAGGAGGAGGAGTGCAGGGGGGCAGGGGGGGGGGCTGAATCCGGGGGGGGGGGAGGGGGGTTGACCTGAGATCCGCGATGCATCGCCGAAAAGCTGGCGACTCGACCTCCGATGGCGAAACCGCACGCAACCTGTGCAGGGACGGGCCCCCGCGCCCAACAATATTTGAGCAACATGTTTGGACGTCGCTGACGGGGAGGCGATGGATTACGGGGGAAGAAAGGTGCACTCTTCGGGCCCTGAAGGCGCCTATCTGGGCCGCAAAGGGGCCCTTCAAGGCACCTTTTCTGCAACCTTCGCTGCCCCCCTCCCCCCCAATGTTTCCGCCCCCCCCTCCATTACGCGACGCCCAACATGTGACGATCGTTCTGAATCTGGTTTCTGGCAAGATAGTTGCACACACAACTTGGCACAGGCGGGATGGGTGGGATTGCAGCATCGCTCCCCGACCCGACCTTCAAAGGGCCTTGCTGACGTAAACTGCGAATTTAATGTAAACGTTGAGCCTAGGAAAAAAAACTCATCAGGTCCCCGCCCCTGCCAAGACAGACGAAACATGCGGCGCTTGGGTGTTTTCGACGTGTTGGTCCCCAGAGACGCTGAACCCTTCTTCGGGGCCAGTTCGTCATCCCGGCCAGTTTCTGAGCGGCCCTGGGACCCAGCAGGGGCTCCCAGAAGCTGAATAACTACAATTAGCCAGGCGAAGAACCCAACCATATGCAATTGTCAGTATCGCAGTGGTAATATCGTTCTCGGTGAAGCTACCTATCGGGCCACGAAACGTGTGAGGGGTATGCCGAAATGGGCGCGGCAAGCTCATGCGAACCCTGTCACTGGGGTCTTCGGTGCAGCTCCCTATGGGACCACGAACCGTGTGAGGGAGGGGTGTGCTAAAATGGGCGTCGGGCGCATGCGGACCCTGCCTCTGAGCTGGGTGGAGATCCCTACGAGGCCACGAACTGTGATGGGGTGTGTCAGATTGGGCGTCGGGCGCATGCGGGCCCTGCCACTGAGACCTTCGGTGGGGCTCTCTACGGGGCCACGAAGCGTGTGAGGGGTGCGCCAAACTGGGCGTCGGGCGCATGCGGACCCTGCTTCTGGGGCCTTCGGTGGAGCTCCCAATGGGGCCACAAACCGTGTGAGAGGTGTGCCAAATTGGGCGTCGGGCGCATGCGGACCCTGCCTCTGGGGCCTTCGGTGGAGCTCACTATGGGGCCACGAACCGTGAGACTGGTGTGCCGAAATGGTGCGCATGCGGAGATCGGAGGCAAGATGACGATGACGATGAAGATGGAGATGCAGATGAAGATGAGTATGAAAATGTAGACGAAGACGATGATGACGATGATGATGGTGCTGCTGCTGATGATGATGATGATGATGCTGGTGGTGCTCATGCTGTTCGTGGTGATGATGATGATGATGATGATGATGATGATGATGATGATGATGATGACGACGACGACGATGCTGATGGCGCTGACACTGATGCTGATGCTGCTGCTGATGATGATGAGGATGTGGATGACGTGGACGATGTGGATGATGGCGATGGCGGTGGAGCTGAAAACTAAGATGACGATGCTAACGGTGATGACGGCACGCGAAGAGCAGAGACAGGAATGGGAGGAGGGAGGAGGGGAAGAGGAGAGGAGAGGAGAGGAGAGGCGAGGCGAGGAGGAGGAGGAAGAGGAGGAGGAGGAGGAGGAGAGGAGGAGAGGACGCGGGGCGCTTTCTCTTCGAAGCGAGGACCCAGCACCCCAGGATAGTCGAGGAAAACAACTCTCCGCAGGCGACTCTTTCCGAGTGAGAAGGGGCGGGAAGGGGTCGCCCTCGGGCCCCTCGACCCCTTCCCCAGGGCAGACTGTACATCCTGGCCGGGACGAACCATGTTTTCCATTTCCTGCCCCGACATCCGAAACCAACCCAAATGGCTACACACTGGCCGCCTCGATTTCTCTCCCTTCATCCTCAACCGAAACCCCCTTTGCAACGTCCCCCCTCTTTCCTCCCCCGCTCGCCCCTTCTTGTCGGCACGCGCAAGATGGTGGCGCGAGGGGGAGGGGGCTTCCTCAGAAGCCTGGGGGTTTCTTAAAGACAAGGGTCTTCTCAAAAAGGCCCAGGAGCTCCAAAAAAAGGGCCCCTGCTTTTTCCTGCTCCTCCCGCCCCGCCTTCTTAGCATGCCGCCCCCTCGCGCAATACCCCGTTGCGCGCACCGCCAACCCTTCCCCCCTCTCCCCAGGGGTCTGAATAACAAGGTCGTTGGGTTATGATGATTATGTTGTTGTAGAATAACCATATGTTTGGTTATGTTATTTATGTGGTATTCACCGCATAAGCCAAAACACCGACATCGACGACTGCGCACGTCGAAATTCGAGCAGCGCGCTCGCGCGCTACTAGGATTCGCGCCGAAGCGCGTCACCAGGGGAGACGTGAGAGTAGCACTCATATTTGATAATTGAAAAAGAGGAGGAGGAGGAGGAGGAGGAGGAGGAGGAGGAGGAGGAGGAAGAGGAGGAAGAGGAGGAGGAGGAGGGGAGGAAATATAGGGGGAGGAGGAGGAGGAGGGCGGAGGAGATGGGGAGGAGGAGGAAAAAGGAGGAGGAGGAGGAGGAGGGAGGAGGAGAAAGGGGAGGAAGAGGAGGAAGGAGGAGGAGGAGGGGAGGGGGAGGAGGAGAAGGAGGAAGGAGGAGGAGGAGGAGGAGGAGGCGGAGGAGGAGGAGGAGGAGGGGGGGGGGAGCCGAGCCTTGCCATCTCTCGCGGGCGGGGTGGAGGAGGAGTGGGCGGCCTAAGCTCTAGGTTTGGCGATCAAGTCGCTGATATTCCTACTCTGCGGGATCCCCCAACCTCGCCGTCGTCTTCGTAATCGTCGGCCAGACGCGGCTCGAAAGACTGGTCAGCCTAGATCCCAGGAGTTAGTGATGAGGATGGTGGTGATGAGGATGGTGGTGATGAGTATTGTGATGAAGATGGTGACTCTACGACTGTGCCTGAAAGACCGAGCCCACGTGTGTACACGTCCCCAACACGGCGGCCCAAGAACCAAACGTGCATGCAAACGTAGACAGTGCAACGTCGAACATGCTAAAATGCATTGCCGTGCAATGCGTCATGAAACCGCTCTCACTCGATCACACTTCGGACCGATGCTCCACCTGGTACGT